CAAAGCGCTTTCCCTGGACAGTTATGGCATGAAGGATGTTTCCGACATACCACTGCAGGAGCTCGTGCAGATCCTTGGTCGTGGCCGATTCGACAAGGAATTGTGGTCGAACGATGTGAAAGTATCAGCGCTACGAGATACGTCAGGAAATCGTCTGCCGAAAACTATAGTATGGATCCTTTCTCGAAATCTAATAGTCTCAGCTGACAAGATCTAGTACTTTCCATACTCGCGCCATTCCTCCTACGAAGAATTATGCGAACTAGTCTCCGCATTCAAACCCAGGGACGTCTACCCCTGCACCGTCGACGCTCTGGAATGGGACGAAGACGTATCCATGCGCAGCTTGTTCGGTCATCTGTGCTCTGGACAAGAATTCGTCCATGACCAGTACATGCGCGACACCATCGGCAACGACGAGGAATTGCGGTCTAGGAAAAGAATCCGCTACGCTGATGACTCAACGCAGTCCACACAGCAATCCATCAGCATGGACGCTAGCATCGACCGCAGTCCTGTTGTGATGCCTAATACCAGCGAGTCTCAAGCCCAGGCACACCCTTGCCGAACGACCATTCTCCCCTCCTCTCTTGAAACTGCCCCTGACGCCGCCACAAACCCCAACCCAAAAGACCCCTCGCCCCGACCCCTCCCAATCCCCAAATCCAGCCCAGAAACATCAAAAGCGAAACGCAACGAGATCCGTCGCGCCTGGCACTTCCTTCACGCAGAGAGACCCCACCACCCGGAGATAGACCTGGGCGCCCTCCCGTCCTCCTGGCCCACAGCGGAAGAAGATGGATTTCACCTACAACAAGGGGAAAGCTCTGAAACAGGCGATGAAACACGCGCACCGACGCAAGACAATATGCATTACGATACTGACAATGAAGATGATATACCCAACAGCCAAGCAACAAACACCCTCTCGATCTCCTCGTCCGCATTTGCCTCGCAGGATCAACCCGTCGGGACTCTCCAGCAGGACGGTCCCGGCGACGTCGACGTTGACATGCCGCCATCGGAGGGAGCGCCGGGACTACCCCAGACCTTGAACAGGTCGAGCTCGTCTCGTGCGCGACGCGCGGCATATCTCGCTGCGCGGGCGGATAGCTACGACGCGTGGGCTTCTATGGGGCTTGTGTCGGCGGGGGATAATCACAACATGGAAGAAGCTGAACTGTAGTCATATATCTAGACAATGTATGAAGACATGGACATGGCAGTGTTGATAACTGATAAAGAAGATGGGACAATATACAGCGTGAATCATTCATTATTCGTCCGTATCGGTATCATACTCATACGCTGATGCTAACAAAATAAAAATGGTGGTATATAAACAACAATCCAAACCAAGTGCATGCAACTAGTAAACGAAGTAATCCTGCGTCAAGGGCAACACGTCCGCTGGCTCCGCCTCGCAGAGCACCCCGTCCGCCTCGACGACGTAGCTCTCCGGATCAACCCGCATCTTGGGCATAGCATCATTAAACTTCATGTCCTTCTTGCCGACGTTGCGGCAGTTCCGGACGGCCTCGATCCGTTTCTTGAGGCCGTAGGACTGGACGATGCCGTCGTCGATGGAGGCCTGGGAGACCCACATGATGGATGTGCTTGGGACGAAGGCCTGACCTTGTTAGTAAAATGATCTAAATGATCGGAGTGGGATAAAGGAGGGAGCTTACGCCGAACTGCCGACGCATGATGACCGGTTCGATGGTCGGGATGGAGCCGTTGGGGTCGCCCTGTGCTTGTGTTAGTACGAGGTCTACAGACAAAGGGGCGGACACGTACCATCTGCGAGGCGACGATCATGCCGCTTTTCAGGATCTGCGCTGGCTTGGCGCCGAAGGTGCTGGGGTGCCAGATGACCAGATCGGCGAGCTTGCCGACCTCGACGCTTCCGATCAGGTGCGACATGCCCTGCGCGATGGCCGGGTTGACGGTGTACTTGCTGATGTAGCGTTTGACGCGGAAGTTGTCCGCGCCGGTGCCCTCGTCCTCCTTGAGGGGCCCGCGCTGCGCCTTGTTCTTGTGGGCGGTGTTCCAGGTGCGCAGGATCACTTCGCCGCAGCGGCCCATGGCCTGCGAGTCCGAAGACATCATGCTGATGGCGCCGAGGTCGTGGAGGACGTCCTCGGCAGCGATGGTCTCGGCGCGGATCCGGGACTCGGCGAAGGCGACGTCCTCGGGGATGTTCTTGGAGAGATGGTGGCAGACCATCAGCATGTCCAGGTGCTCGTCTAACGTGTTCATGGTAAAGGGGCGCGTCGGGTTGGTGCTACTGGGCAGCACGTTGGGGTGCTCCACGACGGAAATGATATCCGGTGCGTGGCCACCGCCGGCCCCCTCTGTGTGGTAGGTGTGGATGGTGCGGTTCTTGAAAGATTTGACGGTCTGCTCCACAAAGCCTGATTCATTCAGCGTGTCGGTGTGGATCATGCATTGGACGTCGAATTTGTCGCACATGTCCAGGCAGGTGTCAATGGCGGCGGGGGTTGACCCCCAGTCCTCGTGCAACTTCAAGCCGGCCGCTCCGGCACGGATCTGCTCCTCAATACTCTTGCCACCGCAGTCATTGCCCTTGCCGGTGATACCGACGTTGATCGGGAGACTGTCGCACGCCTGGATCATCTGGCGCATGTGCGTGGGTCCAGGCGTGCAAGTCGTCGCGTTCGTGCCCGTCGACGGACCGGTCCCTCCGCCCAAAACTGTGGTGATGCCAGAAGCAAGCGCTTCGTCCACCTGCTGAGGGCAGATAAAGTGAATATGGGTATCGAATCCGCCGGCTGTCACGATCTTGTTTTCTCCAGCAATGACGTCTGTCGATGAGCCCACAATCATGTCCGGATGCACTCCGTCCATCACATCCGGGTTGCCAGACTTGCCGATAGCAGAGATCAGCCCATTCTTGATACCAATGTCAGCCTTGTAGATTCCACTCCAGTCGATGATCAGCGCATTCGTAATGACGGTGTCCAGACACTCGGCTTCGGACTTCTCCGAGGCCTGGCCCATGCCCTCGCGCAGGGTCTTGCCGCCGCCGAACGTGCACTCGTCTCCATAAACCGTACAGTCCTTTTCCACCCGAACCCAAAGGTTGGTCAGCCCTAGTCTGACCAGGTCCCCGGTGGTGGGTCCAAACATCCGCACATAAGCTTCTCGGTCCATCGTGAAAGGTGCGATCAGCGCACTATCCGTGGTCGGTGCGGGTTCAGGGACATGAGCGAAACCCTCGACCTGCAAGCGCTGCATGATCTCCTCGGCTCGACTGATATCAACCTTTCCCGAGGCAATGAAGTTGCCACCCTTGATAATGCGATTCCCTGCAATCTCGACCAGCGTAACAGTCTTGGTGTCGCCGGGTTCGAACCGTACCGAAGTCCCAGCGGGGATATCGAGCCGGTATCCGTAGGCCCGCAGACGGTCGAAATGAAGTTGAGGGTTGGTCTCGATGAAGTGGTAGTGGGATCCGACCTACTCGCAGTCAGCAGTCTTGTGCGCGCATAAGTCTCAAGAAGCACCGAACGAACCTGAATTGGGCGATCGCCCTTGCTCATCACCTTCAGCCTGATGCGCTTGCGGCCATCGTTCAGAGTAATCCGCTCGTTCTTCAATGGCAGGACAGCACCTGGCATCTTCTCCAGGAGGTAGTCGTCCGGGTTCGGATCCGGGAACGTATCCGCCGGTGGAATGGGAAGGAAGCTGCCATACAACGCTTTCTCCAGGTCGCCATCATCGCTGCTGATGGGATGGTGGACCGTCACGAGGTATGTGCCGGTGGGGAAGGTTCCTTCGACCTGGAGCTCGACAAGAGTATGTACGACGGAGGGCAGGACATGGCGACGGCCGAGCATGGTTTTGCCGATGGACATGAGATCTGCCACCGAGTAGAGGCCATCGCGAATCAGCTGCTGCGTGTAAGCGCGATGATATCAAGCTGGGATTGGAAATATACCTCTTGCAGATTCGACGAAATAAGAGCCTGAACCGCGGTTAGCTTTGATAAACCTACCCAGGTGTATCGCGCAATGGAAATAGAGGGAAATCCATACCACTGCCTCTGCATGATTGAGTCGTACACCGCGTGCAAGACGACGCTGGGCGAGAAACCCCAATTGCGAGATGGCGAGCTTGTCCAGCTGCGAGTGCAAAATTATCAGTGCTGACTCAATTGTGGATGTATTCGTCCGTAGCAAGCCCCTGTCAGGCTGTCACATACCTCCTTGGGGATTAGGCGCATGGTAACCAGTGCAGTAGCTAGCAGGCGGGGGAGAAAGGCGATGTCTTGGCCAGCGAATCACAACCGCCGCAGCCAAGTGCAAGGCGATGAGGAAATGATATCACTATATACTGGGGAGAAAATAATTGAACAATCCCTGAGCATCGGCAAAATACAGAGAAACAAAAACAGACAAGAAGAGGGGCACTTGACGGGATTTAAAACATTCCTACAGCCGGGCCAGACCAGACTCCGGACTATCAACTAGGGAGGGAGGCTCCAGTTGCGGAGTGGGGAGAGAGATAACGGCTGCGATAAGGGTTGTTCGGCCTATGGCAGTTGGCCATCATTTTGTTACTAACAGGCAATCCCCCTTGCCTCGGACGGCGGAGGCATTGACCTTTCCTTGAGCATTTATATTTACACCAATGATCAACAAGGTGACTGCATTACTATCTTAGCTTTGTCCCCTGGTTCCTGCGAGCCCCTGTTAACCTGTCTGCAAAGCGGAATGATGCATATGTGCTGCTCCTGAGGAGACGAATCCTTCTGTTTCTGTTAGCATGCACGGAGTCCAAATATCTTAGTTCAACCCCTTCCTGAATACAAACAATTGTTGATTTCAAAGACCAAGATCGTGGTAGAGTACTTTTGGATTCAAGATGACAGAGCAACAAAGTATCAACCGGTAGATGCGCAACAAACCAAACTGTATATCCATTCAAGCACCGTATACGCGCACGACAACTATGAACAATCAAGATCGGTTCCTAATTTACTCATCACCGCCAACCTCGCTCTTGCGCTTCTTCTTGGAGCGCTTGGCGGTGGCGTCGGCGCCAGCAGCCTTGCGAGTCGAGGCGGGTGGTTCCTCCTCCTTGTCCTTTTCATTGCCCTTGCGCGCAGAGGTGCGCTTCTTCTTCTCGGGGGATTCATTCTTCTTGGATGGAGTCTTCACCACCTCGCTGCGGCGGCGCTTGTTGCTACGAGGCGGAGTGGGCTCCTTGACCGGCTCCGGAGAGGACTCTTCGGTCTCCTCGTCCTCCTCCACTTCTTCCTCCTGCTCCTCGGACTCTTCGCCACCCGAGGCAGATGCGCCAGCAATGTCCTGCTGGAGCTGGCTGGCGGCCTTGGTGTTGTCATCCTCAGTCCAGGGCTTACCGGCCTTGTAGGCCTTGACCTTTTCCTTGTAGACGGCCAGATTATCGGCATAAAGCTTCTTCCAAACCTGTCGATGATGTTAGTAGGCACTACCACCAACTCATTCCTCAGGGATCGTAGGCATACCTCTTTCTGCGCCTCGGGCATCTCCGCCCAGCGACGAGTGCCCTCGTCGGACACATCCTTGGGCCTAGCGCTGGGGCCCAATTCCTGCGCAATGAGGGGGCGGTTGTGTTGCATGTACAGGAAGTAAGGGGTCAGGGCACGCTTGGGTGCGTTCGGGTCAGGAGGAGCGCGCTTGCGCTTCTTCTTCTCGCCAACCTCGGACTTGGCGCCAGGGCTGCTGGAGCGCGCACCCAGCAATCCATTCTCCAAGAGCGCAGCAGTGATGTTGCTAGCGTGGCCCAAGTCCAGCGTAGAGAGACTAGGGTTCAACACAGTGTTGGTATGGTTGATATAGGCGCGAGTCAGATCGGAGACCGCGGCCTGCAGATTAGACAAGCTGACAAGAACCTGGAAAGAAGTGTTAGTGGGGCTGTTGTTACAAGGATAGGGTAAACTCTTGAAGCGACAGCAACGTGGTATATGACAAAGGCTTAGGTACGCGCTAGAGCCCGGGAGGATGATGATAGGGGCGCCTGGCGCAAGGCCGGAAAGGCGGCACCAAGCTATTGCCGAACATGAATGAATAGGCCAAAGCAACGGAAATGGAACGGCATAACGAGAATAAAAAATCAATTAAGCAAGTCAAGGGGCAAATTGACAAGTTTTACCCCGCGGTCAGTGCGTAGGTGATTTTATGAGTAAGTAGGTAGATATATAGGGAGCGTGTGCAGGTGGTTTGTTTACTGACGCGTCGGTCGGCGTTGCATGTGCTGGGGCGGGCGGCCATGGTACGCCGAAACCACCACCAGTGTTCGGGGGGGCCGCTGCAACTTCGCAAAACCATTTCTGAAGAAACACAAGAGATTAACTTACACTTTCACGGGTTCTGGTGAAGTCATCAACATTGACAGTGACTTGGCCATCATGGACCTTGACATCGTCCTTGCGCGACATGATAAAAAGAAACTGCAGTCCAAAGAACTGCAGATATTGACTGGTAGGGGTAGCTGGTGCTGGTGCTGGTGCTGGTGTGTCTGGGAGGCAAAAGAGAGAATGGAGAGGAGAAAATAAAATTTCGAAACTGGCGGGGATGGGCGCGGTGGAAGGCGGGAGCACAGCGCCCTAAATAGTGGCCGCGGGCAGCGCTGGGCCCAGTGGTCGCTGCTTTAGGCTTAGGGGGAGACCCATCCCTCAGCTTCAGCAGTTCAGCTCCCTCTGTTTTGGTGGTAGACAGTGTAGTGCTTAGAGTACGCCATGGGTGGGCGCTGCGCGGTTTGCTACAGTATGTACGAGCCCCTTGACCCGTAGGCCCCTAGTCTGGGGGCACCCACGGCTACCTACTGTACACCTAAGATCCCAGGGTCTCATCTTCGGGGGAGCCTTCCCCTAAGCTCAGGCCCTGGGCGCTTCTGCTACTTTACTGGCCGGGCTCCCAGGCGCCTAAATCCCAGCTACAGCTAGTATTGTAGGCCACAGCTTCGCCCGAGCTACGGCCATTCTTGAACATGGTGGCATGATGCTGTAACTAGACTACTACCCCCTGCAGGCTCTCACCTGAACCCGCTGGGCTCCAAGATCCTTTTTCTCTTCATCTTCCAGCTCCATGCGACCATCTGTCTGTGCCTCTGGTTTTGTTCTTGCCTTAAGCCAACCCTTCGTACCAACTAGATACCAGTAGCTTATCTACTCTGCATTCCAGTTCCCACATCCCTCAGTTCCAGGTTTCGAAATTTCGAATATCCAACGGGGCACTCTCAATCAATCGATCACAAAATCCATCCTCCACTTGTGATTCATCTCCCCCATAATTTCTTTTCTTCTCCGCCACACCAGGCGCGCTAAATACAAGTTGCTGCAGCCTGCTGCGGCCCCCAAGCAGAACAGCTCGATACCTCCTCTAGGAGGTTTCCTCCAACAACACCTAGAGTTACGGCGCTTCCCGGACTCAGTCCCTGCCTATCTACTCTGTACTCCAAGCGCTAAAAAGACAACCCTGCTCCGGCTCCTCGGACTTGAAACACACGCTCCCTGAAGACTCCACTCTGACTACCCCGTAGTCAGCACTCACTCACTCTTGCAGGCTGCCTTGCGTGACAGCTACCTACTGACCGCTTCGTGGGCCTACACTGGACTCTGAAGAAGCGGGGTTTATTTCTGCAGGTAGTAGACTAGTAGACTTATATTTCCGTTACCCTCTTACATGGTAGTGATGATCGCATAGCTATATAGATTTATTTGACTATAATTGATCAATAACATAGCCAGTAAATAATTCTATAATTTCGTGATTGCGGGTATTGGCCGCGGATGTATGCGATGCCGCAGAATATATATCAGCATCAGCCCATTGTTTTAATAGTGTCCATCGCACACCAGGCAACATAGATCACCCTGTTAATTCTCAGAATAACGTACATGCTTCCGAGTGCGATGTGATAGGCGTTAGTGGTGACGCGTTTAATGTTAATTACCCTACAGTAGCTAGGTACCTACCTTGTCGCGCTTTTGACTCGCAGGTATGGCTGAGCTTACACGGTGGAAGATTAACTGCTTTTATCTATGCTATAGCATTGCTGCGAGTCCGTAAATACAAGTCCACGGTCCTGGACGTCAGAGAAGTCTTTGACCCGTGGATTTACCCGGTGTTCAGCATATGATAATGTAGATGTTGATCTAAATATATTGATATTCGAGTTCTAACACCCCCTTCGATACAGGGTACTTCTACACAAGACGATTCAATATGATCAGACATGCCCTTTGTACAAACATCTAAGCGCGCCGCTTAGAACTTGAACACCTGGTCCTTGTTGTATCCCAGCTCCGCAAGGATACCGGTAAGCTCACCCTGGTCCTTGGGGCTGACCTTGGGTCCGCTGATGGCCTTGTACATGCCGGGAGGTCCACACACAAAGATCTTGATGTTCTCCTCCTTGGGTTCGGGGAGGACAGTCTTCAGGAGCTCCTTGGTGATGTAGCCCTTGCCGCCGGTCCACTCCTGGGGAGGGTTGTCCAGCACGTAGAAAGCCCGGAAGCGGCGGGGGTAGGTATTCTCCAGCTCTTCGAACTCTTTCTTCAGGAGGATGTCCTCCTCACGGACGTTGCCGAAGACAAGGGTGACCTTGGTCTGGTCCTCGGGATCCTTGAAGATCTTGCGAGCCAGCTGGTACATGGGGGTGATACCAGTGCCACCGGCAATCAGGCAGATGTGCTTGTGCTTGTTGGCCTCCCAGGGATACTTGGGAATGGGTCCCTTGAACTGCAGGCGTTGGTCGACGTTCATGCTGTGCAGGTGCTCGGACATGGGGCCATTGGGGTAGACCTTGACGACGAGGTCGAGGTAGCCGGGTTGCTCTGCAGAGATGGAATCAATTACTGCCAGGTATATACTAGAAAGGGGGCGCGGTACCTTCATCACTCACGGGTGTGTAGGGACGGATCACAGGCTTCTCGGCGTCGTGCGGCTTGAACTTGGTCAACAGGGCAGCTAAACGGCGAAAAAGTGAGCTATGAGACCACCCAACAATTCCAGGAAAGAATCTACCCACATGCGACATGAAGACCAGAGACAGCCTCCTTGTCAGGAAACTCAAAACGCAGTCTCTTGGTGTTGGGGCTCAGTCTCTCGATCTCAGCCAACTTGAGATCAACCCAACCCTGCTCACCACCGGTAAAAACCTTCGAGCGCTCGGCAAGGGGAGCCTCAGCGCTGGCAGAGTTGTACCGGTACAATCCCACACCGAGACCAGTGAGACCGACCGCGACGTAGATGGGAGCGAGAGAAGACTTGCCCTTGGAGGGTGCCTCCGTGGAGTATTTGCGGAAGCCCTGCGACCGCGTCAGTCAGCCGATGTCCTCACCTCCGTTCCTAGAACCGAGACCCAAATTTGCTCGGAGTTATATTTTTACCTGCTTCAAGGGTTGAGCAAAGCGAAGAGATTGACGCGCAAACATTGTGTATGTGATTGACACAAGCTGGTGGTCAAGTGAAGGATAATCCGGACCAGAAGAGACACAAAGAGGAGCGGGCGGATATTAACCTTAGTACTCCCGTGGATAGAGAGTATCTACGGAGTTGGTTCCTCGCTACTGTCCCTCTTACTGGTCCGCATGACGCAATACCCGTTCCTGATGGTATTCGTGATCATTAGTAATCGACTTGGGTTTTTCATTGTACCTCTCTAAGGTAATGAATGCCATTGTATGCTAGGCCGAGTATTTTGTTCCATGAAAACGCTACAGTTGTGGTCTTTACAGAGAGATGACCTTGGTGGACGCTATATACTGACTACTTGTAACATTGGCTGTCGTCAATTGCACTGATCCGACTCGAACGGTGACGTTAAAACCTCTACGGAATAGCCCGACCGTCAGCACATGTGTTGTGGTGTCAAACATCGTGCAATTGTATCCCATCAGTCACTCAATTGCCGAGCCTTTCCGTCTCACCCTGCCTGTAGTATGCTACTGCATGCAGAGACGCATCAGAGACATTCTACGCGGACTACCTCTCAGATAGAACCATGGTATTAAAAAAGAAAAGAACCCCGGTAATTTTTTTGATAAATAACTTGCAAGGGTCGCTGCAGAGGACTAAAGAGACATCAAAAACATCCGTCCCATCTTCTGGGCGGTAGATACACGCCTTGTTCTCCGCGTGATCTGTGTCCTTCTTGCATGCTATGGCCATAACATAGTCATTGATCCGCACACTCCATCTCCCGTAACCCAAAACGTCATATCTAAGCGAAGGTAGAGGGTCTCGAGTAGGCAAAGACCTTCTTGCCAGCAGGCTTGGCGGAGCGGTGGGGAAGAGGGAACTTGAGGTTCTTCGTGAGGAGCTGCTTGATGTAGGGGCGGCGGATGGTGTCGGCCTTCTCGATCTCGACAACCTTGAGGATCTGGATGCAGTTCGTTAGATCACATGAGAAACGATTGTTCAGGAATGCGCTTCAACATACGTGGATGGAGCCGAAGCGGGCACGGTGACGAGCAGCCATGTCCTGGTAGAGGGCCTCAACAGCCTCGGTCCGGCTCATCTCACGGAACTCCTTGTACATGTTGTGGGTACCGGAGCGAGAGTCGTAGCGGAGCCAGATACCGAAGTTCTTGACCTTGAGAGGGCGCTTCTCGTGGATCTAGGATACAAGAAAAGAGACAAAGTCAGTCGACCTCATCTTGACCGAAGAATCCTTTTCCATAGTAGACATACCACGTTGAGGCTGACGATCTCACCGTTGGCCTTCTTGACCTTACGGAGCTGGGTCAAGAAGTACCAGAAGCGCGACTTGGCCACAACGGTGTTGGGCGCGAAGATGCGCATGCGGTACAGCTTGGGCGTGGGGTTAGCCTCGGTGGGCAGGTGACGCCCGATGACCTGGTACTCGGTGAGACGCCCTGTGAGACACACCAGTCAGTGACTGTTCGTTCAAGTATCCGAATCCGAGTAAAAAAAAGTGTCTGTTATCGTTGCATTGATTTCCGTGCGAACGTCATTGTCGATGGCGCGTATGTTCATGTCTGCATCTGGAAAAATTCTCGACAATGTGCGACCGCAGTTCAGCTCGACCTCCTTCTTCAATGAACAGTCTCATTCCGTATTTTAAAAAAACCTTGCGCACTTCTCTCCTTCTATCGGTGTATCCTCCGTTGTCATTGTCGTCCAGTGCCATTCTTCGGAATTGTGTCGTTCGACGTTCGCAGGAAACCATTGCAACCGATCTGACGGGGAAATTTTGCGGATTATCGAGGGAAAAATTCACTCACCCATCTGGAAATCTGGTTAGTATCAAATGCAAACGACAAAAAGGTAGATAACGAGGGTGGTGCTCACTTTTGTCGACTCTGTTGTGGTTGACTGTCGAGATAGGTGTGCCGGCTGGTCTGGTCGAAAATGAGGATTTGTGAAACTTGTTGAGTTAGGGCTGCCGCCCTTCGCCTAAGCGACCGGGCAGCTGGGGCTTGACTCCGACGCTATACCCGATATGGGTGTTCAGCCACAGCGGCTGATAAGGGCCTCAGGAATCCACGGCTGCACGCTGTTGTTCCCCACCTTCCCCCCAATCACGTTCGCGACCATCGATGGAGAAGGCAGGAAATGAATGATGACACCAGAGCCTAGCTCCATAGAATGTCCAGGTTGTCTGTTGAAGATATTTCTATGATTGTAAAGAACTGACGCTTCGACACGAGAATCTAGAGTTCTGGTTACAAAACACAATCTGCCATGGCGTCTGTCTTTACAGACTTCAAGGAAGGCCAGAAGAACGGGTCTGGTCCTCGTTTGGCAGCAGCTCTTACACCCATCGCAACCTCCGAAAGCCCCGATCGCTTGCTGTCGTTCTACAACTTCTCTGACTCTGACCACATTTCGGCAGATCTGCGCTATTCACTTTTCCAAGCAAACGGCGTGAAGCTCCCAAAGCAAGAGCAGAATGGCTGGGTTGACATCTTCGCAGCGTATTGGAAGGCTGTAGGGGAGATCATCAAGTTCGAGGAGTACAACCCGTCGGCCAGCTGGGCCAAGGTCTTTGATACTTGGAAGAATGTGGCAAATACTCTTATCAGAGCCTATACGAACTTCGGGCTTCAAGCATGGACGGTCCCATGTCTCTATGTGGTGGGGAAATACTTGAGGGTGTTTGCGATCAAAGCAGATGCCGAGATTTCCTCTAAAGGAGCCATGGGTTTTGGTGACCAGTTTCAAGATGATGTCGCTGCAGATTTCGAGAAGAGTGCGAAGCTCGAGGAGGCCGCCCGGATAATCAATCGGATGTTTACTCTTTGTCTGAGCGACAGGTGTGTAGTTGTACTGGCCCCTGTACACTCTTTTCGCAAATTACTGAGTACGATTCAAGGGCACCGATTGAAGAATCCCGGAAATGGGGTATCTACAACACCACAAATCTTTTGTTCAAGACATACTTCAAAGTACGATTGAAGCCCCTTCCGTTTCTGAAACGTCGTCTGACAAACCTAGCTCAACTCAGTCGGACTCTCAAAGAACCTTCTTCGCGCTCTTAGCGCTTCATCCGCCGATCTGCCTGAGCTAGAAGCTTTCCCCAAGTCCCACATAGTCACATTTAAGTACTATGTCGGTGTTATTCACTTTCTAGACGAAAATTACGCGGAGGTAAGATGATCTTGGGCAAGTTTTTGATTAATATCAAGGCCTTATTCTGATGACCTTCTGCAGGCGGAAGAACACCTGGCATATGCGTGGAAGATGTGTCACAAGGGCGCATTCAAAAATCGAGAGTCAGTGAATCCTAGCGCATGTCTCTATACACTCGCTAATTTCAGCAGGCTGATCCTCACATATCTTGTCCCCTGCCACCTCGTCACAACCCATACTCTACCATCCCAGAAACTTCTCGCACCCTTTCCCAGATTGGAGAAACTATACCGCCCCTTGTGCGAATGCATACGAAAGGGGGATTTGGTTGGATTTGACACAGCCATGTCCGCCGGAGAAGAGGAATTCGTCAAGAGACGCATCTATCTGCCGCTTGAAAGAGGACGCGATATTGCTCTGCGAAATCTGTTCCGAAAGGTTTTTATTGCTGGAGGGTTCGAAGAATCCAAGGATGGCCAGCCTCCCATTCGCCGAACTCGTATTCCTGTTGCCGAGTTCGCAGCAGCGCTGAGGATCGGCACACATGCGGATGACAGGTCTCGGGTAGACATTGATGAGGTTGAATGCCTACTGTCTAACCTCATATACAAGGTATGCCATTCTTGTTCATCACATGGAGCGATCACAGACAGATTGACTGTTACTAGGGACTTATGAAAGGTTACATTGCCCGGGAGCGAGGTATGGTTGTGTTGAGCAAGGGTGGTACCGCCTTTCCAGGAACTGGAGTCTAAGAACTCCACTACACCATTCAAGCATACGATTTAAGCCGAGCTTGAGTCAGAACCTGGCTAGACTCGAAATTTGAGGTCGCCCAATAGGATCTGAAACTCAGTGCATCCAAGTGCTTGCCACCGAAGAAAGCCTGAAGCTGTTTATATACAGCCTAATTCGCTATGATGTCCTTTACGATGCATGAACAGCCATCGGGATGCGACACAACAGGCGATCATCTACAACTAAGTAGTATTATATACCGACGGCAGGATGATCACCTCAAGGAAAAGGTGAATATCAACCGGGCTGCACTTCCTGCCGCATAGGTCCGAACCGGATTGTTCGGTAATTGACATACATCAGCGAAGGATAGTCGATGCCGAAACCTACATCGTCATTGTATGACTTTAGACATGAGATTATGAACAAGAGCATCTATCCACGACGCCTGTACTCCAAATCTTTGCATGCACAAATTAGAAGGCATTGACTAAGTTGAGAGGTAACCGCATTGTCTCCGCTTTTGATAGAAGTGGCATGAAACAAAGTTACTGTACACTGTGGCCTTTCAAGGCGCGAAAAACAAATTGAGAATAGAGAAGGGTATAGTAGAAAAGCGCGACAAGCAGTCTGGATGTAAAAGGAAATAATAAGTCGACAGACATCAGGATTTGGAACTAAACAGGAGAAGGCATAGCAGTAGATGTGAGGTCATCCTAAGCGAAGACGAAAGGTCAGCTCCATTCGCACAGGTCCGCAGAGAGGACAGTACACACCATATGATTGCACATCGCGACAAACAAATCGAAGAATAACTTCCCACCCTTCTCCATCTCCATTTGCATAGTCCCGCTCCGCTTGAACGTCGACCGGCTCCGGATAATCAGGGCCAGATAATGAGCGCGCAGTTTCGACTCGCTATCCGAGGTGTTGGCGTAGGCGTAGCGAGCGCTGCTTAGGATGGTACTACACTGGATACCGGAGTGGAGGCCCTGTTTCCGTAAGGCAAGGCGCTTCAGGGGCTCGAGGCCGTACTTTTGCGCGGCGCAGCTGGTTAAGCAGCAATGTTAGGTGTGTTATCTTACGGACTGAAAGCAGACTTACTAAACGGCTGTATCTCTCAGAATCACTGAGCCGGTTGCGTGGTGGAAAATGGTCGCGTTTGTGGTTTGGCCGTCTGTGTCGAGGCCGGTGTTCTCGAGTTCCCATGTATCGCGGTGCCGGTTGTAGACGGCTCGGGGCGTGTAGTCGCCCTTGTAGAGGTATTCGAGGATGCAGGATAGGATCTCAGGCTGTTCGTCCGGCAAGGAAATGCTGATGCGCTTGTGAGGCGATTCTGGCGATGGCGATTGCGATTGGGCTCGGCAGCAGGCGGCTGCGAAGAAGGGGGATATGCAGAGGGTGTCTTCGTGGGCGGCGAAGAGGCGCTGTTCTGGGCCGACTGAGATGGTGACTATTGATGTACTTGACAAGCTGCCGTGGTTAGCTTAGCATTTAGCTGACTGCGATGGAAAGGAGAGTAGTTTTACTTCTTGTCTGGGGAACTGCCTGTTTTTTGGCGTCTTTCGAGACGTCGCGATGGAGTACTAGGAGAGTCGCGGACGGGCTTCCTCACTCGCTGGGACGCTGTCGCTTTTCCAGCGCGATATCTCGAGGATAGGCTGTCGGTGGGACTCTGAGATGGACGTTTGATGGAAAGCATGTTTTGACTGCTACTGCTGTGCTGTTGGGTCAACATTTTCACGACGGGCTGGGCGACTCGATCGAGCTGAGAGAAAATAGTAGTGTCTCAGGGGGCCGATGGAGTAAAGCCGCAATTACTTGGTCAATGGTGAGACAGCTGACGGCATGCTTGTATCTGTACCTGCGTCTGTAAGTACGACGATCAAGGGAATGATACTGATACTGTCGAAACAGGCGATCAACAGAGCAAGCAGCCCAGAACTGAACCATTGCTGGAAGAAATTGGTTTCTTTTATGTTCTCCGTGCTGCTGAGCGATTTAGACATCTACATTTCTGATGACACCAGTCAACATTGGTGGACCTTGCTTTGTGCATCTATCACAAATGTCCCAGTTCGAGGGAACACCTGCAGGCGCGTAAAGACCGGTATTGCACGCGTAAAGTGGTTTTGAATGCGTCGCCAAATGATCGCGCAGTCACGGGATGCGGTTTGTCCAATTAGATGTCAGAATAGGTAAAGGAGGGTGGGGCACTCGGATCGCCTCGGGAAATTCATTGGATTCCTTGATTTAAGAGAACAATGGCAAAGTTGATACATCCTCCTTGAGAGCAAGCATTATCCAGGCCTAGATGACTCTTCCTAATAAAATGACGGGCTCTAGCTGGCGAAACAGACAAATGACACATTATCTTCCGATTGCTATGCGATCTCAAAGTCCAGGTTAGATAACACCCACCCATATGTGGGGTATGTCTTGAAAGGAATGTCTTGAGCTTCCTGGGAATCGATATGCAAGGGCTTGCAGTTAGACTTGACCAAGGTGGGATTATCTGGAGAATATACACATAAATGACTTCCCGGCATGCCCTCATGACCTTGACACCAAAAACGCCACCATCCTTGCACAGTTGACAAGCAGAAAAGAAACAAAGAAAATCCGGGTTCCCGAGACCCATCCACATTCTCCAAGCCGAGTCGTTGTTCCAGGCGGATGTTGGATGTACCCCCTATTCTTCATAGGAAGACCTTCCTTGCCTCTCGCGGATGACTCTCATTGGGACAATAAGGACACTTGAATCTTGTGCCTTTGCAAAGTCGTTTCAACGACTCTTCTGCAATAACATGACCGCAAGGCATCATCATCGGGGGGTTCTCGTCTGTAGACTGTTCCTTGGATACTGGACAGACGAAGATTGAATGGAAGAGGTAAGAGGGTGGAAGTGGAATTTCGACCTGAATAAAGTATGTCAATTATAAGTCCCTACACATAATAGGGTGACGCGGACTGCCGCGACTCGACTTACCGGAAGTTCGTTTTGCGTGGTCCACTCTGTCCTCTTTGCTTTCATAATTGTCTGCAATTTCAACAGAGTGGGTAGCGCTATCGCACCAGCAGTAGCGGCTATGTAGAGTGGCGAATCGGCAGACAGACCCAGCAGTGAGCAGAACTCCCGAGTGAAAGACTGCGCTACATCAGACCATGCCGACGGATTGTCGAAGATATTCCGATAAGGCGACTCTTGGAGGTTTGGAGCAAAGGCCATTGCCCCCAGCAGCTGCTGAATCTCCACCAAGTACCTGGGCAGAAAAGCATGGAACTCGCGCCTGGCGTACTCCAACGCAGCTTGTGGACCCGCGACAGCAGGGCCTTGTCCGCCGTGAAAGAGCCAGACGAACTGTAATCGGCACAGTTCAAATTCAAGGTTACTGCCTCGTGCCTCCAGAGCTTCTTTTTTGTCCCTTGACCACTGTATAGCTGGAAGCAGGTTATTGTTCTCCTTCATCTCATGTAGTATGTAATACATCGTGGCAAATTGTTTCCGCACTTCGCTCGAAGGAACATCGTCGATATCGAGAAGACTCGTGGCGTCGTCTGGGCCATCCGTATCCATATCGTTCTCTTGCCTCAAAGCTTTCTTTTCGGCTATTTCGGAAAGGAAGGTTGCGGCTACAGAGAACTGTCCCTCTCGTAACAGGTGCATCGCAATCGCGCGGTTGATGAGATGCTCTCGAGATGATAAAGCATCATGCTCGGTATCTGGAAGTGGTTTATCTTTGAAGAGCTACACACGGTGTCAGTTTTTCGACAACACCAGGTATGCTGGAATAACTCGGGGACAAGACCTTATCTAGTGCTTTGCTGTACTTGTTCAGAGCGCTGTGGTGTTCTTTGAGATTGTCATTGATCGAGTCGAATGATGATTTGACGGAATTCTGGAGCTTTGCTAGAGTTATGGATGCTTGACCTGGATCTATACATTGGTCAGTCAATGAACGCCGCCAAACGACCAAGATGGCCGGGAAACCGATGAAGAGGAACGAACCAGAAGCGATAGTGTCTCGCGCTGCTTGAATTAGATCTATCGTGTCTTGTACATTCTTAATATTCTGAGAAGCCTTCAGCCTCTTAGCGAGCCGTTCATGCTCCTTCCGGACAAGGTCCATGACGAATTTGGGGTGACTCGGAGATGGCGCTTGAAGCGGAGTAGAGTGAGTTCCGCTATTCTAGCACCACGACAGCGATAGCCATATGGGTGACTCGGATAGTGCCCAGCTGATGACTTTGGGCGATGTAAGGACAGTCTCTGAGAGGGCAGAATCGAAAATCAGGACCGACAAGTTAGGTGGAGGTGAGTGAGGTACGATAAGCTATCGGCGACCGACAGTTCCATTACGACATGGGACATGGGACATCACGTGTTCTCCAATAATGCTCTTTTACCCCTCTTTCGGGGGTATCAGTTAGATACCTAAGGTCATGGTATGATGCTGCAGGGTTTCAGAAGTGAATCAAATGAGTCTGAGACTGGTTACTGTTATTTCAAAATAATTGGAGTAGTCTTCTACTCATATCGAAACAATAGACGCTAGAGCATTTCCTATTCCGACTAATAGTAGAACCGTTGCAAGATGCCCCCATGCGGAGTGGTGGTAGTCCGCTTTAATAAGACAACTTCGAACACTACAACAAGCAATTTACAAGCGAAAAGGTCCGCTCCTCCAATTTTTCCCATCGGCTCTTGGAGTCTATATTCGGGTCTCATGTCGCGAAGATCTCGCTCTATCATTATTGTAGTTCCTTACTCCGCACGTCTCTACAGAAGATCGCGAATATGTGATTGCTTACGTAAGATGCTTGGTACCGTAGCAAAGGGAAAGTAGTACTGCCAATCATATTCGTGGCTACCAAAGGGGAAAGTCTCGCTTACGCTAGCGCAAGTAGTAGGTCTTGGCAAAGGTATATAACATGTCCACTCCCCCATCTCTTTGAACATTTTCTTCTTTTCTTCTCCATCCTGGTGCACGGGTTTTACACGTGTCAGTGAGGAGACATCCGAGACCGTGTTTTTGCTAGTTGAAAACTACCTAGTTGACTGCTCCAGTTGGTCTTCGGATCGACTGGGAATTTTTGAAAAAAAAGTTGCCCTGGCTCCAAGTCTTGGTGTCAGTTTTTGAGTTTTCTGCATGTCAGATGCTCGAAATATCGGTCTTTTCATCACTGTTTGCTTCCCTTGTGGAGGCCTGTGGAGAAGAGATTTGCCGATTAGTTTGATCCCCGTCGTAAGTCCAGAATAGGCCGTTTGGGTCTTGAAGAAATTTGTAGGACGAAGTGTCCCTGAAGGGTATTGTGTTAGCGATATATTGGACTGAGGTACTCGATAGTGGCTGAACACGTCGCTCGCCACGCCTCTTGGACTGGGGTCTTATCTTTCCTTCGCATTCAAGCAAAACAGCAGTGTCCATCCTATTCTCCAGCTTCCAGTATTATTATTGAGGAATGCAGACGCGATTTCTCCAGATCTTGGTTCGGAGTACTCCATAGAAAGGTAGACTTGGGCAGTGTAGTAACTTTAGTTGCCATCAGGGGCACATTCTCCGAGCCGACTCACCGCTTCCAGAATCCTGTGACGTCGCTGTATAGTTGCAGTGAACTGTCTTTCTGGCAACTCCTTTCTAGGCTCCGTATTTGAACTTCTTTTTCTGATGATGTTACGGCAAATTTATAGAATCCCTTCATTCTCTGTTTGAGATTACAGATGCTTAGTATCTACTCCGGATATGTCAAGTTCCTTTCTTACGAGGCCAACAAAGCTAGGAGACCCCAGGAGGGTCAACATTTCATCCCCTCATTTCTGAGCTTGGTCTCAGTACTTTGAGCACGTTACATCGACAATTGATTTGAAGACAGCAGCAAGCAGCTCCGGATATGACACAGTCTTTACCACTAATGCGATAGCTATCACGCTTACAGAATGCCACCGGCTGTTACGAGCGCGCAGGCTGCGCCTCCCGTGGCGAACCGACGTGATCGTTTGAAACCTTCTATCAACGCTCATGGGAGCCCCTCCTCGCATACGAACGGGCTCATGGAGGCATCACCCCCGCACGGTCATCAGAAACTCGTGTTCACCGATCCTGTAGCCCTTCGGTACCTGGAGGAGGACCCTGCGACAATTGTGCTGCATCGCCGCCTCACCCTGCAGGGTTACGAGATATACATTGTTGAGCAATGGGCTTGTTCAAGGGTACACCCAACATTTGTGATTACGACTTACACGGGCGATCCGTCGCACAAAGTCTTGGTTGGAGTCCTCAGCGTCCCAACTGACGAAAACATCTGGTCTCCGCGTTTGAAACTGTACTTCAACGCCGTCACGCAATGTCAAGCACGAACGAAAGACACACCTCTGGGCACCGTCATGGTAACTGACATGAGCTCGTTTCCGTCTGCGCTCACCGTTATCCCAGTCCCCGATGGTGACGTATTCCGACACAAGGAGGATTTTATCGTCAACGAAAACCTGAAGCGGCTGTCCTGCGCCGGCCGGGCCGGCTTAAAGCTACAACCACCTTCAGCTGCGACCGTGGCAAAGTTTTACCAACTCTATCGAACGAGCGAGCGAGTACCTGTGTATAGTGCTGTAATCGAGCTTGTTAAACAATGCCAGATCGCGCTGACAATGTTTGGCCTCTTGGCACCCGAATACGTGGACGGGCTGCTGTGCGATGTTACCGAGACCGCACTCAATGATTGGTGGACCGAGTTTGGGATTGATTTGTACAACATAGAACCAAGTGACGGCGTACTGGGACCAACAACTGTAGCTGCTTTGCTAGGCACCTTCATGGGAGCTCGAAATCGACTTCACGCCTTCGGTGCCCCGGTCGGGAAGGACGCCTTCGATATACACAGTCTTAAGAGGGCAATCGAGAGCTTTCAGAAGTCACAGAAGATGGAGCGGACACGCAGACTGGATCGGCAAACTCTCGACCGGCTTCACCGGGCAACTGCCAAGGCGGCAAATGCAGAAGGATGGACTGACGCTGTCAAGTCAACGATGGCCGAATTGAGCGGACATGGGGGTGAGATGGTCATGGGTATGGTACGGGGTCGGGAAAAGGGTGGCATCGCCGATATTGAGACACTGGAGCTGGACAATTTCGCATCGCTAGTGACCGGTGAGAGAGCAAAGTGGCTGTGGAGGGGGAAGCCACGTAAGAGTGGGCTGGGTGATGGCTTCGCTCATGATTCGCCTGCTGCGGAAATGATGTTCAACAGGGATGAACAGGGCAACTTTGCGTGGACGAGCCGCAAACGCCATTCGCACGAAGATCTGGCTGGTGACCGATCCTTGCAAGGATCAGACCGTCCGTGGAGGCAGCCTGAAACGGGGGCCCCCCCGGACGAAAAAGATCAGAATCTGAGTCGCATGGTTCGGAGGGGTGTTAGCGGCAAGGTGTCAGACGCACGAATCGGATTTGGAAGATTCAAAGAAGCGGTTGGACTGCCCAGCCTTCGATCTCAGCACCACAAGCAGACGAAAGATGGCGCGGAGTTAATGAGCGATGCGGCTTACATGCCAGCTATCGAAAGCGATGCAGAGATGCCTGTGCTAAAAACAGAGGCTGATGGTACCCAGACCGATCAGGAAAGCATTTCTGAGCCTCATGACCAGAGACAGTTTGACGCAGCAAAGGCAGAGTCACCAGCGTGTACTGGTGGCCTGACAGTCTCCGAATTGAAACCTCCGAAAATCACTGTTGATTCTCCACGAGATAATGAGGAAACTGATTCAGGGCGAAAAGCCTCGACAAGTCAGCTGGAAGAGGACGAGTCGGATCTAGGGCGATCCAGGACACGATCGACCGACGCATCTGTTAGTCAGGACGAACTCTCTCGATTCGATCTGATGTTATTGCACCGACCGCAGAGTTGCATAGATTTCACCACGACAGATGACTCGGAACGTAGAAGCAATGGTTGGCCTCGCCACCTGTCCTTCAGTATTGTTGAGGACGTGGTACTTGGCTGGGAAAGCCTGGGAGGCCGAGAAGCACTGCAGCCTAAGCCAGATGCCACTCTAGAGCAAGCCGTTGCTCTTGAGGATACGCTGGCCTCTGACGTACGAACGTTTAGTTCCAGAATCGAGGAGCTGAGCCATAACACAGTTCCTTGGGTGGAAAGACAAGTGAACTCGGTGGACGAACTGAACCGGAAGCTCTATGCGTCACAGGAGAACATCAACTCGATCTACCTAGACCAGGCTGAGAAATATCAGCAAATGAGGGAACGCTCCAGCGAGTTGCTGACGGAGGAGCACACCTACCTTGTTGATACCATGAAACGCGTCGAGATGATGGGAGCCAAGCTGGATTATGAGCTCAACGTCCTCGAGTCCAAAGTCGAGGATGTGGAGAGCGGCCTCGCGGAATTCGAGCGACATGTGCTGGAGCTCGAAACAAGGATGAAAGGACTGATCAAGAACGAGGAAGAGAAGCAGAGCAATTCATGGTTGTCGCGGTTGGGGAGATTTGTTGGAATGTCTTCTGGTTGATATGCTTTGCCTTTCATATCTTTCGTGTTAAGCGTGATATCCCTGTATTTTTATATACCAATTCTAGTGTACAAGTGTGAAAAGAGGCTCGGTGTCCATATCAGACGCACTGCAAAAGGCACGACTCGAAAACAAAGACAGTAATGCTCGAGAACGCGACCAGAGCGTCCCCATAATAGACAGAAACTGCCAGAACCGAGTGAATCTCGTATCCTATTGAGTAAGAGTCTTCACAGCAAACTCAACATGGATACCATCCTGAATCCATGCGATCGCAAGCAAGCAAAACGTTGAGAGAATTCACGCCCAGCATGAAAGTATGACCTCCCGGCGAACACAGAAAGAGGTTGTAAGACCGCCGGTTCCAAACAAATCAGTCGATGCGTGCAACATGCCCTTCCAGACAAGACCAGCGAGTAAAGCCTGCGTATCTTTTCTTACATGCCGAATCCAGGAGCGCCCTGCTTCTGGGCCGCCTCGCCTTGCATCTTCTCACTGACCTTGATGTTGACTTCGAAGAACTTAGAGACGCAGCGGTCGAGGCAGACGGATTCGCCCTTGTTCAGGTCGCCTTCGCGGTAGTCGTTGGGAATGCACTTCTTCTGGCAGGACTCGGTGAGACTGAGATTGGATATGGCGTTAGATTGGTTATCAAATGCGGGATGTGAGTAAGGCCACGGTACTGTCGTGGGCACTGGTATAGCTAAGGAAGAGACTGAGGCGTCTTACCGGTTGAACATATCGGAGACCATCTCGACTTCTGTCTCTGCGGCAGCGATCTTCTCTGCCGAGGACATCTTGGGGGGACCACCGAAGAGGAAAGACATGGTGATGGTATTTTATGGAGAAGGGTTGACCGAGTTATGTGGTCGGATATCTGTAAAGCGGTTAGCAATCGTCAATAATGTCTGGATCAGAAAGCGAGCTATTGTACTGCTATGTAGGATGTTGAGTCTGGTGATGAATATTAGCTCAAATTGATTCTGATGAGATATGTATGATATTGCGGCTTGGACGGAGTTGCTGCTCTGAGGCCGGGAGCTAAGACCGTCTTTTCCCACCGCCTTCCATAAATTCATTGATTTTTCTGCGAAACCACAATTTTCTTCTCTTCTCTTTCCCCATCTTTAACGTGATGTGACTGTAAATTTTTCCTTTAATATGCACTCAATTCGCCCCCGGTGGGCTTCACAATTGTGCTCGAAGAATTCTCGACTCAGGTAAGAAGCTTATTTTCTTCTCCCTTGTCTATTTCCCCGCCAATTGAGTGATGAGACAAACATTCCTTTTCAGAACCGCTGCAGATGATGCTTGTTTCAAGCACTTGATCGCACCGGAGTCATTTCTTTTACCTGATTCAATGCCCATTCATATTCTTTTCTTTCGAGGAGAAATTGTATTGCTTGAGTTGATCGGCTAATACGAGCAATCCATTAGTGCAGGATCGCCATTTACTTCCAGTAACCATCGTACTTCTCGCATAGCAGATAGTTTACTTGGAACAATCAAACCGGTCTCATCATTATCTATACGTACAAGGCATAGCAGCAGCGCGGCCTCCTCGGATAAAGCATTCCGATACCGGCTTGAGGAGGTCAAGAATGCCTGTTCTGACCCATATCCCCGTCTCCCAAGTGACAGCCGGTCGCTGAGCTGTGCGGCCTTTCGTGATCGATATAGCCATCTTGCCAGCAATCAAACAGTAGAAGATGACACTGTCGTTATTAATGGTAGGTTGCCGCTGTTCTGGCCCTACTCGATTGTCCTCTGTACTTAGATTTGTAGGAAGGATACGTGCCTATAGACTGGCCGGGAGCAAATTGATATTCTTCGATATCTTCCAGGATGGACACAAGGTCCAGGTTATGTGCAACATTCGCAAGCTGAACGGAGTAGCTCCCGATGCTTTCAAGAGATTCTACCGTCTCCTTCGCCGCGGCGATGCTTTCTGTATGTTGTGCCATATAGTCGTCCCCTGTATCACTACCCGAGACTGAACGATCTTCCATAGCCGTAACAGGTAAACCTCACCGCACAGGAACCGGAGAGCTCACAGTTCTTGCAACTGAGCTTCCTCGGCTGCTGTCGCCCTGCCTACACGATGTCCCCGTCGATGCCGAAGAACATGAGACCTCTCCCTACCCACGCCATGTTCAGTTCCTTGCCGACCAGAAGGCGGCAGATATCATCCGAGCGCGATCAGCTATAATTCAGTTTCTGCGCCAGTTCTTTCTCGACAGATCGTTTATGGAAGTCAGCACTCCCATCATTGGCTCGATTGCTGGCGGAGCGATGGCTCGCCCGTTTCAAACTTCTGCTACCGAATTTCCCGACAGGCAGCTGTCTCTGAGAATCGCGCCAGAGCTATGGCTAAAGCGCTTAGTCGTTGGTGGGTTTGACAGAGTGTTCGAGATTGGTCCATCATTTCGGAACGAAGGTAAGTCAAGACGGACGCTTGATCGTAGTCCGAAGCCTTGAGATGAGATGATTCTCTGACTTGTTGGGACAGGCCTGGACAAAACTCATAACCCCGAATTCACAACATGTGAATTCTACCATGCATACGCCAACCTGGAAGATCTGATGTCCATCACAGAGAACCTCTTATCAGGCATGGCGGCACATATCCAGGAGTTCAACAAGAACGCCAGTCTGAAACCACCAGAAGTCGACTTCTCGGCTCCCTTCCGTCGAGTAGACTTTACCACCGGCATTGAAGACAAGATCGGTCGCAAACTCCCCGACCTCACTACGCCAGATGCCCTAGACCAAGTCAATCAGCTGTTCAGAGACCTTTCCCTCCCTATTCCCAAGGACCCCACTCTCCCCCGGCTCCTGGACGAGCTCTGCAGCACCTACCTTGAGCCCGAATGCATCAACCCGACCTTTATCATCAACCCTCCCGAGTGTCTCTCCCCACTGTCAAAGTCCTTCATTCACCCCTCCAATAAGCAGCGTGTCGCGGCGCGCGCGGAGCTCTTCATCGACGGACGGGAGATCGTTAACACCTACGAAGAGGAGAACTCTCCTTTTGAGCAGAGACGGAAGTTCGAGGACCAAGTCCGCTACAATAAGGGCACCGATGAGCCCGCGGAGATTGATGAGAGCTACCTTGAAGCGTTGGAGTGGGGGCTCCCTTCTACCGGTGGCTGGGGCTGCGGTATTGATCGCCTCTGCATGCTCTTCACGGGCGCTAAGAGGATCGGAGATGTCCTTCCTTTTGGGAATCTCCGCGCCGTAACCCGTCGCCATGATGGTCTTTCGAGGACTACCGATTGAGGAGCTTGATAATGGCTGTACGATATTTCTCTACTTAGATACCTGTACAATATTACGACTGCAGAACATTTAATTCTTTTAACTTCTATCTTCCGTATAAGAAGTTTAAGATCCGCGCGTTGACATCAAAGATACCAAAATTTGCTGAATCGCGGTTATTACGGCTGAGAGACCAGTCCGTGACACCCACTGCCACTGATCCCCCAAGTAGAGGACCAGCAAAAGAATCACCAAGGGCAACAGTCATAGTATTCTACCTCATTCGAAATCGAGTCATATATACGGCCGTTGATATGCTCACCCACTGGAGACAATAGTAGACTGTATCGCCCCCGCGATAGTATCGCTTCTTTGGTGAGTCCGCCGGGGTCGACCCGTAAGACTGAGGTTGACATAACCAGCACCATAGCAAGAGGGAGGTGCCAAGGGATGACAGAATATAGTAAGGTTTTCCATTCTTGTCCAGCTTGGCGTAGACTAGTCGGCGTTGGAAAGGGTCCGTGATATGGTCTTGTTTGAAGGTACCGATGGGCACCTCTTCATGGTGGAAGTTCAACGCTCGCTGGTCCAGTCTGTTGAACCGTGGTGCACGCGTGTCCTGAGCAGCAGATGGTTGTTTCCCTTTGTTGCAGACGGTGGCATTGACCACCTGGGTTCCCATGTAGGAAAGGCCATTGTCGTCCTCCTGGAGAGCGGTCCAGTTGGCCAGGTCGTACTCGTCTTGAGATGAGTCAGTGGAGTCGGTAGGTTTAGTTGACGACGACATCATGTAACCGAACCCTCTAGGAGCGCCGCTGGAAAGTTCTCTGCCAGATGCTCTGAGTGGTATGTATAAGAAAGTCTGGATGCTTACGTGAAAAGACCAACACAGGGATTTTTCGAGCCACAAATTCAGGAGCAGAGGAAGGGAACGAGAGCAAAACAAGAGGATTGCTGAGGCAAAGAGCAGGACTTGGAGCATGAGGAGGCTCACGAGGAGGAGAACGCAGGCATGAAGCAGAGTGGAAGATTTTATCATGCGTGGGCTGGGGTCGACACACAGAGGAGCCAGAGGCGAAGACAGGATGGACTCGGATAGCCCCCGGTAGATCATCACCCATCTTCTTTCACATCGTGTCCTCGTCCAAGTAATCGCCCGTCGGGCCGACGGTCTTACAGTCGTAGCCGGAGTCAATGGTGAACACTTAGGATAGCGAATCTAAAGAAGACTTTGCTGATGCTGGCCTGGTAATGCGCTTGCGCTCTCTGTCGTAGATCTAGGCCGAGGAGCCATCGGTGTTTGTTATGGATGGGACCGTATTTCATTGGTGCCACAAGGAGTAGCCATTCATCTGGGTTATTGGCGATACCTGGTGGAAGCTGCAGAAACATTTCGTCCTTGGAAGTCAAACTTGCGCCGAGGGTTTGGGCTAGCTTGAGGGGCAGTCTCTCGTCGATCAAATGAAAGTACACCAAGGTCTTCAAGCGAATTATCTATGTCGGTATCATAGCCAAAATATTCTAGGGTGAACGCGCATTCTTGGAGTACATTAACAGCGGTTTCATACTCCTCCTATCACAGATAAGTATCTCACTATGGCTAAATTAGTGTGGGCCCTTGACCTACCAAACTTCCTATGACCTTCTCTCTGGAAAGCAGAGCATCGTTGGACCATAAGCCGACGATTCGCAGGTATTTGGCTGTCCGATTTAGTGAGCTTTCGCACTTTCTTCCATAGAAGTGGCCAACCTTTTGGGCTAGGAGCTGGCCAATATTTGAGTAACCGATTCCATGTTCACGAGAGGGGACTTTCACGATAAGGGTTTGGATGTCCGGAAGGTAGGTGAGCCAGACAACACTCCCAAGCTCGTGACGGTTGGCCTCGATGGCCGCCAAAGTCCCTCCTGCCCACATGCTTCAACGAGATATATTGGCTGATCTGCGGAGGGCATAGTAGAATGCTAGTTTAGTCGCTCGAGAACTCCTTCAGGATTGCTGAGTCTGCTGTCGGATACTTGCCTTCCATGTAACCCCAGGGTTAACATGGTTCCCGTGCCCAAATATAAGAATGATCAAGGTATCTCCGTCTCTCTTTACGTACCGGCTTCATCCTCCACGAACTTGATAAACCGTAACAAGAGGATAGCCCTGTCGCTCAAAATAAACATACCCTGGCTCGTTGAAGTAACGGGCCTCGCGCCAGCCTTTCATGAGCACAAAACGCCACATCACGAATGTTCCTGCAATTGTGATCTGACTGAGAAGGTCAACTTCAAGCACAACTTGACGTTCCTTTCTGGGATCACCGTGTGCACTACCAGGGTAACCCCAGCGATATGAATCAGCGCATCAGCACTGTGCTTGGACATAACCACCTTACTGGCTTCTTCGGGACGGGGTGTCAATTGGACCTTGCAATTTTAGGGCACATCCATTGTCATCTGTGTCAAAGCTCTTCCGCATTCACTCGGAGAAAGCGTGAGGGTGTGAGAACTCGCTGAGAGAGCTTCCTAGAAAACGAACTATTTTCAGGCGAGTATGGTTCGTAAAGACCAAGGGCCATGGGCCACTGTATCTTCGCTGCTATCGCTGGGAGAGCATTGGTTATGCCTTCTATGGTGCCAATTTTTTTTTTTTTTTTTTTCTTTTTCTTTTTTTTTTTTTTTTTTTATTCGCAGCATAAGTAGCTGGGCCTCGTTTGACATAGCCGCTTCCCCTGGTAGCGGGGGAGGAGACAACGACTGCCGGGGCACGCAACCTATTTGGGGTCTCAGCGCGCGAAGCTGGTGGCTGCTCAGGTTCTTCACCTGCGGCAGTGATGTCGATTGGCAAGTCCTTAACGGGAAGACCCTCCTCGATAGCCCGGAGACCACCCCGTTGGAGCACAGTACTACGTGAATCAGCCAAGAACGAAGTTCGCAAGAGAAGAAAGGACATACATATCAAACTCGCTGTCGCACCCAGCATTCTTGCCCAGATAGGAGTCGCACTAAGCGCCTTTTCCATCTGTCCGAGTCTCAAGCTTATTGAACCCAAACCGCGCCCCTTAGCCGGTAACTGCTGCCTATCCATTCTGTGTGTACCCCTGACATCTTCGGCAGACTGCCTGGAACATCTGACCCCAAGGTCTGAAAAGGAAGAGCACGGATAGGTTCTGAAAGAGGCAGACAGCCACCAGCGCCTGCCTGGCGATTATCAAAGATGACTCCAGACATCTCATGCGCAGGTTGGAGTCAATGCAGGTCTGAACTGTCAGGTCAGACACGGTAGGCTAAGCATCGATGAATCAAGAAATTGGGAGTTCACCACAACATCGACAGACCAAAGGCGAGTGTACCCAAATCTCGACACCATCCCATCGAATCTCCTCAATTCCCACCCGAGCACCACAGCACCCGCAGATCTGCACCTGCCAGCGCCAAAAAAAACTCACAGTAATCTTCCTCGCTCATGCGCCGCCCCCGCAGGAGGATATTCACACATGCTTTGCCCTTGTACAAAACAAGGTGGTTGTCCAGGATATTACATCAGCCAGCATCACCACATGCGCTTCCGGAAATTGAAAATGGAATGGAGATGGGTTTTTCGCACACCACTGGCAGGGTTCGTCTGCGACGCGGCCCCGACACTGGAGAAGGAATGCGGAGGACTGGCCCTAAGAATTTAGCGGCCGCTCGAAGGGTTCGCAGAGGGAGTTGGTCGACCAGTCAGCCTCGCGAACAATGTCCATGAGTTTCACGACGCTGCAGTCGAGTGCGGTGTGCTTGAAAGTGTCATGTTGATGGTAGCCGTAACAGCCGGCTGCTGTGACGGGCCATGTTCCTCAGGGACGTGGAATGGGCCATTGATTCGGTCGACCTCACGAAAGAACAGCTGAGAAGGAACCCACGTTTAAGAAAACCAACTACTAATCTCTGTACGAATGCGGGGGAGTTCTTCACCAACTTGTATTCGAGGCTTCAAGATCGTGCGGATCGTGAGGGGAGACTGAAGATTTTCGGAACAGCTAGGCCATAGCAAGTCACGTTCCGGTTGATTTCCTATCTGAAGAGGTAAATGTGATACGGCGTTCGAGGCTTCTTCAGGAGACCTGGAACTCAGTATGAGTAACATGTTCGAGTGCCCGAAATGACAGTCCGGCTCTCGCTCGACTGAGGACGACATTTTAAGCTGATAGTTCATTAGAAACCCAAAGGCAGTTGTAAAAGACCGTTCAGTAAGTTCACTCCACGAACGTAGTTTGCACTACAGGAAGTGCTGCTTGAGCCATTCCTGTCTGTCGAACAACGAGTGTATCGTGATCACATCCAATGGCTCACTCCGGGGCACTGTTGCTTGGAATACATACCTGCGCATCATGACGCAAATATTTCAGACGAAGAGACAAATTGACGGGATATTCAGTAATACGAAAAGCTGCGTATGGCACTGTAGCCATATTCTTGAGCTTGACATGGCTGGGATGTGCCCTTCATTCCCGCGGTGGTCATCCATCGTGAACCCCAGGTCTGTGTACATGTATGGAATTCTCAACCTGGTTGGTGAGCCAGTCAACGGGCTTCGGTTTCAAGGAAGTCTGAATCCTCGGTGTAGTCATTGACCTGTTCGGCAAGGATACAGAACCCTGCAAAACACTGCCGGACAGACAAATTGGTGTCCAGGGCTCGAATAGGTTGAGAAACGCGGAAGGCAAAATCGGCTGTTCGCTTGACGAACATAGTCCCCTCGTAAGTGGACAGAAAAGCCGTAGCGCATCTCAAATTTCCTCATCTGGGCAACAAGCTGCCCTGTGGGGATGTCGGGCTTCGGTTTCAAGGTCTCCATGGTCAGGTCCGGGCGTAACGTCGAGATCGCTGAACGGTCCAGGGTGTAGTATTCTGCGTTCTCCACTGACGGTGTTTGTCTACCTTAAGCCCATGTCGGATCACCGTACTTATTTTGAATAAGTGGGCTTGTTCAGCGCTTCTGTACTCTCGAGATTTGGAGACTCCCCTGACGGCGTTTGTCCCGACCTGCGCCATATCAGTATGAGGACTGCCTTGACGGCACCATTGCCGCCGACAAGCCACTACAGTAGGTCCTATTGAGGGCCCACTCAATCAGCATGCCGGTGATTAGTCCTGTCGGACATCGTAGGAAGATGATAAGCGCGACAAGCCACAAGTTCATATCGTCTCTCAAGCCGTTTCGCGACTCTGACCAACCAGACTCCATGACGACAGTGGGGAGGGACTGGCCGACAGGTTTGATCATGCCGGCTGCCTGCTGAAGGGATAGCCTTGTATTAGATGCTACCTGATGTGCCAAATAGATCATCCTATTATGAAGATTTTGGTGGCAGTGGGAGAAGAAACGATGAAGGATCAGTAGTAGAATTATGAAGGAGAGAAGCAAGCCATGTTGATCTCACATGTGGATAGTCCGCACTGGGCCGTCTTGTTATCTATAAATTGAATAAGCCATAGGAAAAGATTGAGATTGGGAGAGGTTGGGAGGGCTTTTATATGCTGCGGGATCTTCCGAATTCATCAACCTGAAGTGAATGTAGATAATCCTAGCATTCACTGCTGTGACAGTCCCTCCATGCATGATGCAAAGGCGTATGTGTGATGCAAAACTAAAGCAAACAGGCCCACGCCATGCCAAATATGCTGTAAGATGCTGGGTATATACAAAGACCAAGATACAAAATTGATGAATGGAATCAAAGGACAGATCCGGGCTGTCTATAGAACTGGGCTCTCCCAAGAGTCGCGTTTGATCTTCATCAAAGCTGACTGCTTGTGGGGGAAAGTAACCTCTCCTTCTTTGTAGAATCCCGCGTTTTGAAGGTATTGAATGACCCTGTTGCATGTCAGCAAAGCTCTTGCAGCCCAAGAAATGGGATTGAAGCTTACTTCTCATTATCCACCCGTGGCTCCAGCATGACTGTCTGCGTTCGCGGATCCGCAAGCCAGCAGTAATGGACCAATGCACTGAGCCAGATGGCGACCCGGTGTGACCCACGGTATTCCTGCTCTCCCACGAGTAAGTGAATTCCCCGGTCGTAATTGTCCGCCCCTCCGATAAGTGGTCCCAAGCGATCCTCTTTGACCCAGTAGATTTCAAAGTACCCAAACGGCTTGCCGTCCCAGCATCCAATGACGGGAAAGCTGTGACGGCTGGTAAGATTATTGCGAAGGAATTCCTCCTGTTTTGAGACCGGACCGCCCTCTCCCCAGGCTGCATCCACGCGCGGGTCATTCATCCACTTGTGCAGCAGGTCTAGGTCAGATGGCGTGTTCTGAGGAGGTTGCTCAATGCTGCTCGTCGAGTGACTATGACCATGGCCCCGATCTCGCATCGCAGACGAGGATAGAATCGGTACGCGGAATGACAGGTACTGCCCGACGCTGGGAATGAACCGGATGTAGAACACTTCTCCCTGATGGGGCGGCTTAGGTCTGACGGGGTGCCGTAGCCCGTTTGTGAACGTGTACTGGGTTGGTGGCGGAGGAAAGTATGTCGGAAGGTGGCTGCTAGAAGCAAACGGGCCCTCATTGGGCATGCGTAGTGGGAAGTCCTTCCCCGCAGGGGAAGCCGGATACTCAACTGACAGCGGGCTCTCGCGCGATGGTGACGCAAATCTGGGCGAGAGAAAAGGCGATGCCGGGGCAGAATGCAGTGGGTTTGCAGGGACCAGGGTAAAGACGAAAAGACGGGGGTCAATCTGCCAGAAACTGCGTCGGCTCACGAACATCCGTGACCAGGCCCCGGACTCTCGCGTCTCGCTCGGCTCAAGCCCAACGGAGGATTCCTCCGATGCAATGAGTCCCATGCGCTCCAGCTTCTGCAGCAGGTTGCGTCCCTTGAAGATCCCCTCTCTCTTGAGATGAATGCGCCATTCTCCCTTCGGTTTGCCTGTGGGCGGTGTA